TCCAAAATTCTTGTAAGGTTTTTTCTGTGTTTTCTTTGGTCTGTCTCTCAATCCTTTGAAGATACCTAAATATAATTCTTTTGAATTGCTTATCAGAGAATTCCTGTGCTGCTTCTTCCTCAGGGATGTGGTCTGGGTCTGTATCCTGTTCCCTTGTTTCTACCACTTTATATTGCTTCTTTGTGTGGACTGTGATGGTCTGTTCTCTCCGAGACATCGTGGTGTTGTATTAAGATCTCTGTTAACTATTTGTGAAGAGCAGCCAAGGGTGATTCAGGCTCTTCTTGGTGTTTTTTTTATCATTGGCCTGTTGGTGGAGAAGGAGGTGGTGGCTCTTGCTCAGTAAGTGAAGTTGCAGGAGGTGTGGGTGTAGTTGTATTTTATTGGTACTGTTGCTGTCTCCCACTGAGTTAGACAAAAATTACAATTGAATAACCATAAAAAAGCTCAAAGCACAGGGACAAAAAAAATACACCATGTAATCCCAGGAACAGTAAAAAAAGAGAAAAGAAGAAAAACAACAAGAAAACGTGCAGTATCTGGGACATAGGTCACTAAGAGAAAAAAGGTCATCGTGAAGGAGAATCATGAAGAAAAAAAAGGGAAAAATGCAAAACAACAAGGAACGGGGTTAACCACAAGAAAAAAGGGAAAAAATTTTAAATTTAAAAAAAGAAAATTTTTAAAAAACAGGAACAGGGAAAAGCATAAGAAAGCTGTAAGCTAGGACCTTGGAGGGGAAGAATAAAGAATAATAATAAAAAGGACAAAAGCACTAATAATAATTGTAGTTTTAAAACAGACAAATACAAACAAAACTAAACACCAGAAAAAGGAAAGAGAAAAAGAAAAATCGGCGGAGGACAGGGCAGGGCACCCAAGCTCCGTCTGAGCACACAGACTGGGATGGAGTTCCTGTGGGCCCAGAAGGTGGGTGGGTGGGGGGTATGGCCGCACATCCGTTCACCAAGCGGGTGTGGGGTATAATAGTAACAAGAGGAATGTCACACCTTTTCCGTTGTGTAGGTCTGGAGTGCCCTTGGGTTGCTGGCAAGCAGAACCTCTTCTTAAGCCCCTGGAATCTTGGAGAGCACTGTCTCTTTAAATATCTAAAATGTTCAATCTGCTTATAAACATTCAAAATGGCGGCCTCCTCTGGACAGCTGACAGTCCACAACTCAGCCTGTGTTGGTCTTCACCCCTGTTTTCCCTTTTATTCCACAGCCACCAGACCAGTCCTCCGTGTAGTCCTTGGCTAGTAAGGCTGATATTTAGGTTAATTCTTAGGTCCTACCACTACTCAGGAATCTCCCAGCTGTCTCTGCTGTCAGGATCACTCAGGATCGCTGCCAGACTGCAGGTCTGCATGTCTCCTTTTTTGATATTTTCATGCAAATTCTTCTGCAAGTTGGGGTTTAATCCCCTTCTACATCCTTTGATTCAATTCTCAGGTGTCCAGGATTATCTTCTGTGTCTGTGTTGATTGGTTCCCCTTTTCTTTGTTGATGAGGGTCTGTGCAGTCTTTCTGCCTATTCCGCCATCTTGGAATTGATCTCCACCTATATTTTTAATGACTTTTAGAATGTTTTTAGGAAAAGAGAGATTTCCAAATAACATTTAGTTTTTCCCAAGATGTTGCTCCTCTGCTTCCTCTTAGTTTATCCTGGAAATCTGAGATGGTATTGACATTTCATAATGAGAGATTAAATAGAAGTAGAGAAAACCTGTTGCTGGCATGCCAATTCTGATTCATAGTGACCTCATGAGACAGATACCCACAGGATTTCCAAGGCTGTAAATCTTTATAGAAGCAGATAGCTATATCTTTCATCCACAAAGTGGCTGGTGGTTCACCAATAACCTTTTGGTAAGGAGCCGATTTTTTTTTTTTTTTAATTGTTATTGTGATTTTGGGTTGCGTTTACAGAGGTCATTCATTTTTCATATAGCAGTTCATAAACATTTTGTTTCATGATATTACCTGAAATTCCCTAGTGTAACAGCTCCTTCCTACTTCGTGCCTGTAGTTACCTCTTCCCTGTGTCCTTCTTTCCTATGAATTCCTGTCCCCTGAGCTATCTCCCTGTGCAAGTAATGCCTTTCTGTTCTCATGATTGATCATTCTAAGCAGTGTATCTACCTCATGTAAATGTTCACCCTATATGCCTGTCTTTTGTTTTCCTGGACGCCACAGGAGTAAGTTCTATTCCAGACCTGAAGGGTAATTTGGAACCATAGTCTCAGGGGTTTTATCAGGCTCTGTCAGACCAGTAAACCTGGTCTTTTTTATGATTTTGAGGTTTGTTCCACATTGTTCTCCCACTCTATCCAAGATCTCCTGCACTGATCCCTTTATGAGTGGTTAACAGTGATAGCTGCGCACCATCTAGTTCTTCTGTTCTCATGGTCATATAAGCGAAGGTTCACATGGTCCACTAGTCCCTTGGACTAGTTATTTCCACACATCTTTGGTTTCCGTCTTTGTTCTACATGAGGAGAGACCCATCCTTGAATCTAGATGGCTGCTTGCAAGCTTTTAAGACCCTGGTCGCTACTCAGCAAAATAGGATGTAGAACAGTGTTTTAGTGTAGTATGTTATGCCAGTTGACCTTGATGTCTCCTCCAGACATGGTCCTGAGCCCACAGGTTCAGCACCTTGTTCCATCAGAGTGGTTTGCTATGCCTAAGAAGTTATTAGAACTTTGCCCCCGTTGGGTCTAGTTATATGGACATTCTTACAGCACATACAAATTCATATGTGGAGATACCATCTGCTAACCTTTTATACATTCATGAGTATATTTCTTTTTGTCTAGACCTATCTGATAATTTAGCCTGTCTACTCATCCATTTACCTATAGACTAATGTTTGTTATCACTGATAACACAGTATTTGCATATGCGAAAAGGTTTATCTTTGTAGTTTATACCTCTTAGCAGCCAATCGTTCAACCACAATGCCACCAGCACTCCTTAGAAGTAGAGAAACGTTGGCTTATGTTTTTAATCACTAAAATAGGCCATAAATTTAAACCACATGTAAAAGGTCATCCTAAATACTATGTTATACACAGTAGGGGTGGTTCTTTGCACATAATAATTATGCATGGGACAGTTATTGTTAGGGTAAATATTGTTATGTCTTTATGCTGAATACCTCACAGTATGTAATAATAATTAGTAGACAGGTTGTTGTTGTTATTTGCCGTCGAGTCTGTCCTGGCTCATAGCGACCCCTCCTTGGGTTTCCGAGGCAGTATCACTATGGAAGTAGGACTGCCCAACGTTCCTTCTGAGGAGTGGCTGGTGGGTTTGAACTGCCAGCCTTCTGGTTAGCAGTCAAGTGCCTTAGGCACTATGCTACCAGAGCTCCTAATAGACAGGTAGATGATGGATAATACTTGACTTTTATTTTTAAGGTCCTGATTATTTCACCAGTTTGACATATTTGATCTAGCTTGAAGACATTGAATGTTTTTATTTCACTGAGTGTTGGTGATATCTCTTGTCTTTCCCTTTATTTCTGTAAATTACTGACACAAGGTTCAGCTGACATGTATTTTCAAGCAGGGTGGTCTTAAAAACTTGATAAAAATTTGTAAATTAAGTTACAATGTAGAAGGAATATTAAGTTACCAGAAATAATTTAAATATCTTTTTCCATAGAGATTTCTTATTTGAATAACATGCTGCACAGTTTATTAGGGAAGTTTTTAACTATCTGGCTTTCTCGGTTATTTTTTATGTATAAAATTACTCAGATTTTATATAAACATGGCTACTTATTGAGCATACGTTTACAGGTTTCTTCCTATCTTTGATGAAGTATTTTTCTCATTGCATAGGTTGCACAGAGCATTGAGGATCATCATCAAGAAGTAATTGGTTTCTGCAGAGAAAATGGTTTCCATGGCTTGGTTGCATATGACTCTGATTATGCATTGTGCAACATCCCCTACTATTTCAGTGCCCATGCCCTAAAACTGAGCCGAAACGGGAAGAGTCTCACAACAAGCCAGTATCTGATGCATGAAGTTGCCAAGCAACTGGACCTGAATCCAAATCGTTTTCCTATTTTTGCTGCTCTATTAGGTAGGTGAAGTAGTGTGAAAATTTTATTTGATAAAGGAGTTGCTACACAGTGAGCATATTACATTTTTTAAAATTTTATTTTTGGGTTTATATTCTAAATTTGAAAAACTATGCTGTTCCTTAGCTTTCCTTACTTAGTGGTTTTTTTTTTTTGGTGTCATAGATCCTGCTATTATAGCTGAGAATGTGTTTCTTTTGTTCTTAATGTTCATATATGTCTTGTTCTTTATGGGCTGAAAAAGTAATATTGTAAATAAATTCACTTAAAGTTTCAGAAAAATAACATGTTAAAATCACAGATGTTAACACATGCCTACTATGAAAATTAGATGTTTAAACTTTCAGAATAAATTGTGCTTATTATAAAAGAAAATACGCTATAAAGTTAGCACTTTTGTTTTTTTTTTTTTTTTTTTTTCATTTTCAGGACACTCTACTTTAAAAAGAAAATTTATCTGACCTTTTAAATGTATACATATCTTTAAAAGTTTTCTTGGAGGAATTCCTTATGCTGAATAACCAGAAACAAAGGTTCTATGTACTAATTTATTTTACTTAAAATAATATTCCAACAGGTAACATAGTCATCTGTCACTTGACATCTGCATTTTATAGTGATTTTCTGTCTTTCCTCTCTTGTCAGACAGCCACCTTTTCTTGTTCTTTCAGTGTGCATTGTCTCTAGCTTCTTTACTATTCTGCTCTAATTTGCTGAGAGTTAGTATTCAAAATATAAGTAAGTATGCTTTGAGTCAGGGCCTGAGTTGTGGCACTCAGATTTAGTTATGCTTTGGTGACTCAGGGCCCTTTCTGAAAGATAAGTGAGATATTATTGTATTTTCTTCGCATTTGAATTGCACATAGGTTAGTAGCCCGTTTCATTTGTGTTTAAGAGAGGAGTTAGATTATGGGCTACTTTTAGAAATTCTTAGTCATCAGAAGAGAGCTTTGGTAGCATAGTGCCTAAGGCACTTGAGTGTTAACCAGAAGGCTGGCAGTTCAAACCTACCAGCCACTCCTTGGAAGGAAGGTTGGGCAATCTACTTCCATAGTGATACCACCTCGGAAACGGAAGGAGAGGTCGCAATGAGTCGGGTCTGACTCGATGGCACATAACAACAACAGTCAACAGAAAGATTTTTATAAACATTCTGAAAGGTTTTAAAAAATTAGATTTAATTTACTGAATAATTGTTTATAGGAAGGAAGGCACAATGTATTATTTAGCATTTGGTAACGTTTCAAATTTTACTGTATAATTACTAACCTAATCAATCAACAAATTCTGACTTCATAAAAGTTGTCTTTCTTCTTTGGATCAAATCTCAAATATTTATCTTTAAGTTAGTACTTGACTACTTTCCATCTGTTTTCTTAGGGAACTCTTGTGACTCTTGGAATTTGTAGGATTAAAACTAATCTTCTGAGTATACTTTCATATTTACAAACATTAGAAAGGGTATTTCCTTTTTTTTTTTTTAATTTTATTTTGATTTGGGTGAAGATTTACAGAGTAAATTCACTTTTCATACAGCAGTTCACATATACTTTGTCTCATGTCATTGACCAAAATTTACAATGCAACAGCTCCGCTCCCACTTCCTCCCCATAGTTACCTCTTTCCAGTGTCCATCCCTCCATACTCTTCTGCGCCCTGAGCTGTCTCCCTGTGCATAAGCAGCCCTTCCTTCTCCCATGATTGTTCTCTCCAGGGTGTGTGTCTACTTGAGGTAAATGTTTAACTCACTTGCCTGTTCTTTGTTTGGCTGGAAACCACAGGTGTGGGTTCAATTCCAGACCTGAAGGGCAGTTAGGGGCCATAGTCTCAGTGGTTTCACCAGGCTCTATTGGACCAGCAAACCTGGTCCCCACCTTCTTTTTTTTTTTTTGCCTCCAAATGATTTTGAGTTTTGTTCCACATTGTTCTCCCTCTCTATGCAGGATCTCCTACATCCCTTCCAAGTGAATGACAGTGGTAGCCGGGTACCATCTAGTTCTTCTGGTCTCATAGTTGTATAGGTTGCAGATCGGATGGTGTACCAGTCGCTAGGACTGATTGTTTCCATTCATTTGGTTTTCTTCTTTCTTCTTGACGAGGAGACACCCATTGTTGCATCTAGATGGCAGCTTGCTAGCTTTTAAGATCCCAGTCGCTACTCGCCAAAGCAGGAAGTGGAACAATGTTTTGTATAGTATGTTATGCCAATTGAGCTTGATGTCCCCTGCGACTATGGTCCCAAGCCCACAGGATCAACTAACTACTCGGTCCCTCTGGGTAGCTGACTGTGACCAAGCAATGACCATAACCTTGCCCCTTGTCAGCTCTACTATACACCTGGGAATTCTGATCATTCACATAAACTTATAGGACCATTGTCTGCCAGCCCTTTATGTGATCTTGGATACACTCCCCATTTAGACATACCTAATTGTTTAGCCTGTCCACCTATCTATCTGTCCATATACCCATTTGCCTTCACTGAGAACTCAGTACTGTATATGCAAAAGGGTTCATATTTGTTGTCTGTACTTCCCATGTACCTCTCTATGTCTTTTTCATCCTCAATGGTGCCGTATTGGTCACTCCCAGAAAGGGTATTTCCTTTAATATGAAAATTATTCTCTGGATAAACATGTTATATGAAAAGTTGATGTTTCTTTAAATTTTAGGCAGAAAACTTGGGCATATTAATTGACTTTAAATGAATAGGGAAATTTCATACCTTTAGAATATGATGTCTTAATTAATTTGAGATGTGGAAAAATATTTGCTTATCTTATCTAAGCAATATCGGCTGTTTCGAGATACTTCTAAATCATATTTTGTAGTTAAATTACTTTGTAAAATTTTGAAACAAATGGAAAATAAAAAATTTAGGCAAGTTGTAGATAAGTCTTAATTGAGTAAGTTTTTTTTTTTTTTTTTTTTTAAGATTTTGGTAAAAGCTTCAATGTCCTCAAATGATGAGTATATTGATTACCTTTCCATAATGGAAAGTATAGCTAGTAACTTTTGCTTTAGGAAAATTGTGTAGAATATTCATTTAAGCATTTGGCTTAAAAATTATAAATTTTTTTTTACCCCCCTCTTTACAATTTTTTTTGTTTCCACCTAAGTTTTAAGAAAGATGTGCTGATATTGAAGTTACCTTAATATTTTTTCAAATCTAAGCTAAAAAAAAAGATACTTCATACTTAATTCATAGTAAAATTCTATTCAGTCTGTTAACAGAGGAAAAGAATACAATGCACAGTGAACCTGGACAAGTTATAAATTAACTTATGTCCTCTGGATATTATAGTAGTTTGGTGTTTCTGTATTTTGCATTTGTGTGTTTAGAATATTATGTTACAGTATAGGAATCTTACAAATGATCTCATCTTATTTGCTTTCTGGTAGTTGCTAATTAGTGAATTTACTCTCTCAATATGGAGATGATTAAATCATCTTATTAAAACTGCAGAATTATTTAGGAGATTACAACTTTTAAATATACTGACATCCTAACATAGTAAAGATTTTAATATTATCAAGCATTCTAGTACTACAGTGAACGTATTCTCCATTGTGCTATTCTCCAGAGTGTGATTTCTCAATAGAATACAGTTCTTATTTATAGACTATGACATAGCACTGGTAATAGGATATAAAGCTTAATAGCACTCATTATTATTGTAGTATTTCTTTGTCACTTGTATTTGTGGGTTGTGGTAGAAATTACAAAGGGTGATACTAATATACAATCAGTAGTCATCGTCATTTAATCTTATGAAGATTTTATCATAGTGCAGATTTCCATATTTGGCTGCTGAACCTAGTTCACATAACACAGTTTGAACCATTTGAACCATTTGTTCTATGAATAAATGAAAACTTGTATCTAGTCAGTATTTTGTAACCTGGTATTATCCGACTGTCCTTTTGCATACTAGTATTTACTTTGAATTACTACTCTGAGAAGTCACTTAGCTTTTTATGCAGTACTTCATTTGAATGCTGTTGGTAGTATACTGGAAATTCATGTCGTGCTTGAGCCAGCAACAAGAAATGTGTCTATTGTATTGCCTTATATGAGAAGATTGAGATACATTCTTGGTTTGGAAGTTTATATGGTGTATCAAATGATACCGAGAAGCCATTGTAAGTCTGAAACAAAGGTAATGAATATATTTATTGATAACAAAGAGTGATTTAAAAATTTATCCTTGTATCACTTGTGATCATTGGCTTTCATGTTATACATGTTATATATTCCAGGTAATCATATTCTACCTGATGAAGATTTGGCTTCTTTTCATTGGAGTTTACTTGGTCCAGAACATCCACTAGCCTCACTTAAGGTACAAACTTAATTTCCATCATGTGTAACAATCAACTGTTTAGTTTGCTATTATTACCATAATAATGCAAATTATATTCCATTACTATAGCAGAAAATGTTACCAAGCAAGCAATATCATATCTTTCTTTAATTTCAGAATAATCACTTCCTTAAAAAACAGAACAAAAAAATGACCTGTTACCTTATTTCCAACATCTGTATTTTAGATATATTTATAAATGTCCTTGAAATTTCCCTTAGAATAATTATTTATGCTGTGTACGTAGATAGGAGGAACTCTTTTTGCTAGGTTTTTTTTTTTTTTTAAATTGTGATTTGGGTGAAAGTTTACAGAGCAAATTCACTTTCCATACAGCAGCTCACGTAAACTTTGTCTCATGACATTGACTACAATTTCCCACAGTGCAACAGCTTCCCTTCCATTTCTTCCTCATAGTTACTTCTTCCCTGTGTCCTTCCCTCCCATGCACTACTGTCCCCAAACTGTCTCCTTTTACATACACAGCCCTGCTACTCTGCCATGATTGATCTCCCCAAGGAGTGTATCTGTCTAATGTAATGTTCAGCTCATATGCCTGTCTTTTGTTTGGCAGGTAGCCTTAGGGAGGGGGTTGAATTCCAGACCTAAAGACCAGCCAGGGACCATAGTCTCAGTGGTTCCACCAGGCTCTGTCAGACCAACAAACCTGGTTCCTCCTCCACCCCACCCCCACCTTTTTTTTTTTTTTTTTTAAATGATTTTGAGTTTTGTTCCACATTGTTCTCCCACTCTATCCAGGATCTCCTGCATATATATCCCCCTCTGAGTGGTTGACAGTCATAGCCAGGCACCATCTAGTTCTCCTGGTCTCATAGTCATATAGGCTGAGGATTGCATGGTGCACCAGTTGCTTGGACTAATTATTTCCATGCACGTTTGGTTTTCTTCATTCTTCTTTGCTGTGGATGAGGAGAGATCCATCGTTGCATCTAGATGGCCACTTGGAAGCTTTTAAGATCCCAATTACTACTCGCCAAAGTGGGATGTGGAACAATGTTTTTGTGTAGTATATTATGCCAATTGACTTTGACTTTGATGTCCCCTGTGACTATAGTCCTGAGCTCACAGGTCCAACTACTTGCTCCCTTAGGGTAGCTGGCTGTGGCCAAGAAGAGACTCCAGCCTTGTCTCTTGTCAGCTCTCCTATATACCTGGGAATTCTTACAGAACATACCAATACAATTGTAGATACATTGTCAGCCAACCTTATATATGGTCCTGGGCACAGTCCCCTCTGCATAGATATACCTAGTCATTCATTAGCTAAAGTTTTTATGTATTAGTTTTCTTACTTAAAGTGTTAATTTTTTCCATAGGTAATATACTAATTTCACTTGGATCAACATCTTTTAGCGTAGTTTGAAAAATATTGTAATTTTCTGTGATTATAAAATAGTTTAATTTAGGCTTTAATGCTTTTTTGACTGGTGGAGGAGACACAAAATTTGTTAGAGAAATGGTTATTTGTGTGCTTTTATTAACAATATAAGGAGCCCTTGTAGTGTAGTAGTTAAATGTGCAGCTGCTCACTGAAAGGTTTGTGGTCCAAACCCACCAAGTGGTTCTACAGGAGAAAGATGTAGTGATCTGCTCCCAAAATTTTAAAAAACAAAACAAAACCTACTGTCAATATTTTGACTTAGTGACACTGTAGGGCAGAGTAAAACTGCCTTACTGGGTTTGCAGGTCTATATAAATCTTAATGGAAGCAGATTGCCACATCTTTTCTCCTACAGACTGGATAGAGGGTCCAAACAGCAAACCTTTTAGTTAGCAACCAAGTGCTTTAACCACTATGCCATCAGGGCTCCTTGAGCCATAAAGATTATAGCCTAGAAAACCCCATGTGGCAGTTCTACTTTATAAGTATGGGTCACTGTGAGTCAAAATTGATTTCATGGCAACCAACAACAACATTAACACATTTTCTTATATTTCTCCTCTTATCGTTCCCTTACGAACATTAGAGAAGAAGTAGTAATTTTCTACAGTGAGGAAGTTTACATATTTGATATAAGCACAATAATAATGAGTGAAACTGCCAGAAACCAATATGAAACTTCAACTAGTACTTTTTAGTAATTTCCTGTATTTTTTTAATTCGATTTGCTTGATAAATTTGCTGTGGTATTCTCTTCTATTAATATCGTGATCTGTATTATAATTTGTTAAAGTACAAGTGCTTTTTCAAGGCTTGAGGAATTGGAAAGGCCATGTGACTTTGATTTATTTTTCCCTACTTCCGGCAGTGTTACTAGCTTACTGATACTCTGGGTCTTGGTTTCTTTGTAGCAAAGGGAGAAGTTTAAATTGAATGGTTCTGTGGTCACTTTTTCTTGTAAAATTCTGAATTCTGCTCCTGTTACTCTCCCTCCATAAACAATTTTAATTTGTTGGTAGTTTTATATTGGAGTTCTCTTCAGTACATTTTAACTTATATAAATATAGTATGATAAAAGAATCAGGCCAGAGAAGACTCTTAACTTGAGGATTTAAAATCTGATATCCTTAAAAACTGTGTATCCAACACTGTTGTATTAAAAAGGAACTACAGGCAGTCCTCGGGTTTTGAACATCCAACTTATGTGCAGTATACCCCGTAATTATGAACGAACCCCCTGTAAAGCCTATTATATTAAAAATTTGAGATACGTACAATGATTCCTAATAACAAATGAGGGCTACTTTATGGCACACATCAAAACATTTTTTTGTTAGTGTATTATTATGTTAAAGATGTTGTAGTGTATCTGGAAATGTTTCTTTAATGATTTATATGCATTAGAACGGTACACTATATATACTATGTGTTAGGCAGAAACATGGCTGGCCAGATGAGTGAATGATTGAGCCGGAGGGAATTATAAGAACTGGTCAAGCAGGAGGCACCTGACCAGAGCGGACCAGACCCCAGCACGTAGCCCTTGCTTAGGAAAGACCCCAGCACCTGACTCTTACTCACCAAAGCCCCCAACCATTTCCTGCCCACTATGTTAATGAAGTGCTTCAACCTTACTTCCTACCCCCCATGCTAATGGGGTACATTAACCTTATTGGTTCCTGTAACACATACCCTGCTCTCACTCCGGTCCCCTAAGAACCAGGAAGAAAATCACTATAAAAAACCCTTTCTTTCACCTGGGCAGTGCGACTTCTCTGGCCCCTCTCAGGGACCTGTGAACCTCGCCCGGGCCCCTCTCCCGTAAACCTCTCCCGGGAGCGCAGAATAAAAACTTCTCTTTAACCCCACTTTTGTGCGTCCTCTTCTCCTTACTGCGACCTTACACTATGGTAAACATTTGGTTAACTAACGTTAGGAACCAAACCTTTCCTAACTCTTCCACATATGTACAAATTCAACTTAAAGACAAACTTAGGAATGGAAGGTGTTTGTAATCCCAAGGACTGCCTGTAATAAAAATCATGACAAAGTTTTATCTTTGTACTACCTGATGAAAATCACAAAAGGTCCCAATACCATGGAGAAGTTATCATTAGCCCATAATTGGTGTGATACAAAGTCCATAGTATAGTATGTTAATATGTATCTATCAGTTAAAAGCCATGAAGTCATCCTCTTGCTGTACATAACTCTAGCTATACTTAAAAGAATAGCATGTCTAGTTTGGTGCTCTGTGGTTTAAGAAGTACAGAAAGAACTGGAATGATCAGGGATGAACAGATAAAATGATTAAATGATTGCTCAAAACTGTAAGAGAAACCACAAGAAACAGATTTTAGTTTGATGAAGGCTAGGAAGGGAACAAAATTCTGCTTTGTGCTCACTTATCATTCAATATGTAATCTGTTTGCTATAATATGAATGTAATGCTGGATATACTTAGAGCTTAAAATTACATGAGGGCAGTAGAAAATAAAAAGGCTAGTTGAGTTTTAAGCATTTTTTAATATTTAATTTCAACATTAAGAACTACTGGAAAGTGGGACAATATTCTGTGCAATCCATTGGGTTTTCACTGGGTAATTTTCAGAAGTGGATTGCCAGGCCTTTCTTCCTTCTTTTGGTCTGGAAAATGCTAAAACCTGTTAAATACCCTGCTGGTATTTGAAATACTATGGCATAGCTTTTAGCATCACAGCAACACAAGAGACTAGTCAGTGACAACTTAACAACAAAAAAGGAAAACAAACCCACTGCCATCAAGCCAGTTCTGACTTATAGGGACCCTATAGGACAGAGTAGAACTGCCCCATAAGGTTTATAAAGTTGTAAATCTTTGTGGAAGCAGACTGTCTCGTCTTTATCCTCTTGAGTGGTTGGTGGGTTTAAACTGCTGACATTTTGGTTAGCAATCAAATGCTTTAACCACTCTACCACTAGAGCTCCTACAACAAAGTAAAGTGGATGATAAAGTTTTTAAATTTGGAAGTAAAGAGTATTGCATTTGTGTTCAGAACAGTGGGAGATCATTCCATATAATATGTAAAATTCTAGACTGGAGGTAAGGGGCAAAAAGGTAGCGTTTAAGATATAGTCAACAGTAAAAGAGAGAAAAGAGTTCTCTCTTATCCTTTATTTTTATAGGGACCTGGTTCTTGAGTTCGCAACCTGCAATCCTGTGGGCCTGCTCCAGGTGCTGATAGCTTAGGGGGGAGTGCTAGCTGATAGCTTGCGGGGAGTTTCAGTCCCACATCCATGTCCAAGGCTCTGCAGGAACCAAGGGTACTGGGCAGAAGTGTGAGAAGAGAGCAGGCTAGGGGCCAAAGTAGTTAAAACATTAGGGCAAGATCAGGCTTGAATGAGATTGACACAGACATATGCATACAGGCACCAACACCTGAAGAAGCCTTCACCTTACTTTGCTTTAGATAAGATATATTGTTTCATTGTCCTTTCCTGGTTGTAGAAATTTAGAAGAATGTTTCACTTATATGGAAGAATGGGGATGAGTATTCCTGGATTGCCATGTTTCCAAACAACAGGAAAATCCCTGTTT